CCACCACCACATCATTAAAACAAACGTTCCCAGGGATATGTTTCCTTTCCTGAAAAGAAAGGGAGCAGCTGCTGCTGCATGCTTCTGGCTGGGGTGATTGACCAATATGCACAAGGCTCAAGACCCCCCTTGGGGGTGCTGGTGCTGCGGTATTTGTGGATTGGTCAGCCCCTGGGAGATCTACACACTGGTGTTGCTGAGTGGAGGAGATGCCTCCGGTTGATTGGCCATTTCCTTTATGCCTCCTTAATTGATTGGCTCTTTAATTCATGTTCTGGGAATTGGCCACTAGTGAGCTTTGTCATTGTTATTATTATTTTTGATGTGTGGTGCCCGCTTACATCATATTTTTCATTAGATTAAGCTGTCTGAGAGCTGCTCAGAGCCCCGTTTTCTCTGCATACACACCCTTTTTTTCTTTTCTTTTTTTTGTTGTTGTTGCTTCCTTTGCATCCATTCATGTAATTCCTGCTATTCACATCTATTCATACTCTACCCAACCCCGTGCCACTATCCAGACACAAACACCCACACACATCTTCTGTTCTCCTGGCAGAAAGAGAGTCAGAGCATGAGGTGCAGTGACAGTGGAAAAGGGGGAGGTGGGGGGAGGACAGAGCGTGGTGTGACACCGCACTAAAAGGGGAGGTGACCGCAGTGCTTTTTTACCATGCTGCAGTGCTTCGGTTTCTCCTGCTGGGGTCTCCTCAGCACTGGGGAGTGTGCGAGAAGGGAGAGAGCGAGGGGGGACGCGGAAGGGAGGGAGGGAGGCGATATGGATGGAACAGCGTGAAGCCTTGTGGTTACATCCTTTGATGAGGTAGCTGGTGGGAAAAAAATGGCTGCACACCAGAAACACATACGTAATTTGCGCCGTCTCTCCTCTCTCCCTCGCACACACACGCGCGCATACATAAACATACATTACACACTTGCCTGCAAAGCCTTCCTCTCCCCCCACCCGAGCGGCACATTTGCCATTCAGCTCAGCTGTGTGTCTGTTTTACATCCATACACTGGTTTTCCTTCCTCTGCTCGCCCTCTTTTAATCACTCTGCTGTTTTCATGCGTTTTGCTGGTACTGCAGGACATCTCCCTCCCTCTCCTTCTACACACATGCCTTCACGTACATTCAGGTGCTATCCTGAACCACTGCAAGGTCTTCCTCTCTGTGCTTCTCCTTCTCCTCCCCCACCTGTTTTTGGCTCCTCTCTTTCATTGCCCCACCACTCTTCACTTTGTCCTATACCTTCCCTACCCCTACTTTTTTCCCTCTTCTCCTTCTCCAGCACATCTAAGTGTCTCTCATCTCTTCCCATCTCCCTCTCTGCGATTGGTAATATTTCTTTTTTTTTTTTGTTGCTTTTTCTGCCAACTGCTCGTTCTGTTCCGCATAGTCAGCACTCCTCCAAATTCCTCTCTTTCCTCCTCCTCCTCTCTCTTTCTCTCTCTCTCTAGCGTCCCC